TTGGTTATTTTTAGTTTGGCCTGCCTAGTGCGAAGTCAATAATGCCCGTTCACATATTGATCTACATACAATATGTACGATGCATGTACATACATGTTTATGTTTTTGTGTATATAAGGGGAGATATTTACTCAATATTTCGCCGTATCGACAACATAATATGTTTCCACTGACCCAGTTTGTTGCCCAAAATCAAAACAAACATACTTCCAGGCTCTGTAAGGTGATAACGCGTTTCAACCCTCTCTCCCCATCTCTCTCACTCTGTCCCTACCTACCTCTCTCGCAAGCGCTCAGTCTCTTAAGCTCGCTCTTTGCCCGCACTGTTAAGCTCTTCACCGTCACTTCCAGGTCTGTTACGAGCCCCCACATTGTGTTTGGCCCAGTTTTTCAAATTAACAGCCCTGATGTGCGTGCGGGTGTGTGTGTTTGTGTGAAAGCCCATGGCATTTGCTACCCCTGCGGCCCAGAGTCATGTGTATGCGTGTACTCGTATATGGACGTCTATATACAGTTGACCCAATTTCGTGTTTTGTCCTTCCACAGCTGTTCTGGTTTTTGTTTCTGCCTTGATGTTGCCTTCGCCTTTATCGTCCCCGCGTGTGTGTGTGTGGGTATGCATAAATATACAATACATAAATGTGTGTGTGTGTGTGTATGTGAGTTTTTGGGTCGCTTCATGAAGAACGTTATTTGGGGCTTGGGGTTGTTTATGCTCGGGCAAAAAGACGCAAAAAATAGAAAGGCGAAGCATGAAAAATTCTGTTATTTATACAAAGCACGTAGCTGGTGTTTGTCAGAATGTGTATTTGTATGTATGTGTGTGTGCCTATTTGTGAACGTACTTTTTGCGTTTCACTTTTGGTTGCAAGTAAATTTTCATTGAACGTGAATGGTATACTTGTAGAAACAAAACGAGCAGACGAGTGGAAGAGGCAAGTCTGCACTTCTGGTATGAAAAATATGCGAAATATAAGAACCAAGCAATAAGACATTATGTTGAGCGTCAACAAAATAATGTTATAAATCTCAAAAATACGAGTATAGTGACCATCCAGCTGCGTCATAGTTCCCCATGACTTTTATACCAATTTATATTCGCAAATACAATTATGCTTCTCGTGATACATATATCTAAGACTGAAAATGCTAATTGTTTCAAAAAATTCGAAAGAAGGTACATGTTTATGTTTTATTTCCTACATTAGACAGACGATACGTCTTCAATCACAATCTTGGACTAAATCTGAATGTAATGGAGCCAAGTAATGATATCTGACTACTTTTCCCCTCAAGCAATAGCTCTATAGTCCCAATATAGTTGGCTTGGACGCAAAAAAAATAGGTGCACTTTTATTTAAGATGCAGTCCACGTTTGTTTGATGGAGAAGCTCAAAAGGAACAATTTCCACATTAGATGTGCATAATTAGGAAGCTGGATGATCAGCTTAGCCAGCTTCACTGCTCCACCCACATAGAGTCCAAGACGAAGTTGACAACTTCCAGAAGCAAACACGTAGAGCAATCATATATTGCATATACACTACACGTAATGGCAACTGCCAAGCAAAAATGGCACATCAAATGCCCTTAGACCGCTTAGGCATATGCGGTATACAGAAAATGCTGTGCTCAGCACTCGGGACGAAGTCAAACGAGGAAAATGGAGCAGAAATGGGAGCAGGAAAAAGATGGAGTGTGGAGAGCATGGGAGAGCACAGGATGGCAACGGCTCTGTTCTCACTCTCTCCTGGTCGGCGTCTGCTTTATATCCTCTTCTTTTCGCTTTTTGTGACTCCAAACTACCCTAAACAAGATTCATGTTATTCCGGCCATTTCCGCTTATTTACGTTGCCTATTTATTGGCCCGGCCTGCTGTGCGGCCAAATCAGGACATAGTGCGGTAGGAAATGAACGGGCATTGTATAAAGCTGCGCAACTTCACCGGGGTTTTCTGCGTTTTTCTCAGAGTTAGGGCTTGGGGTGGAACGTTTGGCAACTAAATTTGCTTTATGACGCAGCAAGCCAAATGAATAAATGCCCAGATAGGGGAGGGATAGGGGATGAAGGGATAGGGGGATGGAAAACACGGCAGTCGGAAAACGGCAAATGGTTTTGTTTCATTAGTGGCAAGGCAATCGGCAACATAATTATCGCACACACACACATGCACACACAGATATACAAACACGCGCGCGCATAATTCAAGTGACTTTAATTTACTTTTAGATTTTCCCCAACTTTGCAGGTGGGGTGACTCGAGGAGGGTATTTTAGGCCATCATGGAATTGATGGTCATAATGACTGCTAACTTGTTTGGCGTATTAATTGAAAATAATTGTCGGCTAGAGCTCTAAAATCAAGCATACGCCGTGTGGGCACTTGAAGATCTAGCAAGACTAACACTTGGCTGCCGTTGCTGTTGTTGTCACAATTCGGTTGCTGTTGCTGTTTTTTGTTAGTGAAGTCGTTGATTATGCTTATCACGAAGCGCATATCAACGACAAAACGAGCACATTAATAAACCTGCTTAGGTAAAAGAGATGGCAAGAGCGAGAGCGAGAGCGAGACGGTAGAGGGTGTGGGTGCATATTAATATGCCAGGCACATTTCCAACCACAATGCAAACAGGCTGAAATTGCCAGACAAGCCAACTGACAAACTCAACTCTAACTCAATGGCAGGCAGGCAGGCAAGCACACACACACACCACACACCACACACATCTGGCTGAAATGGCAACCTCTCAGTGAGGTTGCGCGAGTGTATGTGTATTTATAGCCAGGATATGTGCTGTATCCTGCCCCGCTGGCTGGCCGCAAACGAATTATTGCGCCACTAATTGCACGAAGCTAAAACGAAAAGTATGTTGCCCGCATTCCTCCTGCACTTGCCCCACAGGTCGAGGCTGGCAGTTAATGTTACCACACAGCAATGACCACATATGTGAATGTGTGGATGTATGTGTGTGTATGTGTGTGTGTGTGTGTGTGTGTACTGCCAGGCATGTGTCTGTGCCATCAGTTTACGCCGCTTATGGAGCAAGTTATTTATGTTTATGATTACATTGCGACTGGCAGTTTTCCCTTTTCACCCTTCTTGTCCCTAGCATATCATCCAAAAGTTGCATTGAGATGAAGATTAGGCAGTAGCAGCAGGAATTAACATGAATTCAGCGATTCAACTTTAATTTTTTGGCGCCTTTTCCTTATGGTTCACCTCCTCTTAATATTACCATAACCTTTGTTGTGCAACCAACTGTTTTACATCGAAAGTAAGACTTTCCGCACAAACTTTTGAGCACAATGTAGACCTACATAAAGTATTATGGTTTTCGACGATCAAGAGTGATCTTTCGGTTATATTCATCGCCCTTTGTTTGTTATAAGTAAATCCCTCCGTTTTCGCATTAAATTCCAAATTTAATCTTGACAAGTGCTATAAAATAAATGTACATTGTATTTGAATAGAGGTGGAGTTACAATGAAGTATAATAAACCTCTGAAAGCCAGGCTCCGATTGGAATATTGCGCATACGCATCGTGTGTCACATGTGTGTTTTATGATCTTCTGAAAAAGCGTTCGCTATCACAACTTTGCACCCTAGCGCATGCATCAGCCACACACGTCCTTCAAGCAGCAGACTCGCTCAGGTTTTCCAACTGTTTTCTTCGTTCACACACACAAGCACATAAAATGCCAAAATTGTAACTTACACAGACACTCACAGCCGTATCTGTAGGCCAAGTTGTAAACAAATCGTTAATCACTTGCCACACAAGGCCAAAAAAATGAGCCCCAAGCGACTGAAACTTTCATATTGGTGCAGAACAGAAAAAACAACAAAAAATAAAAAAAAAAACCCAGAAACTCAATTTTAATACGGGCTGCACAAAAAGCCACACAAGGCCAACAACAACATCAATAACGGCAACAACAACAAGGACACAATCATCACACATTAAGTACAAGTATGTATATATACATAGATACCTATGTATGTATATACAGATATGTATGTATGTGTACATATGGGGCATGTGCAACGCCTGAAAGTATGCTACAAAGCATAAAGGATCTAGAATTTGGGTCAACAGCGCTGCCAGCACTGGCGATGAAGCCGGCGCCACCGCCGATATGTACGTCGATGTCGACTTCGATGTCGGGCTAACCTTCAACATGAAGCGCAGCATAACTGCAGGCGCATGAAAAGTCGCATGAAAAAAATGAAAAACGTGAAAAGAGGAAAGCGAAACTGAAACCGAACTGAAAAGCGTGTCAAGGCAATGTTAGCCACAAAGAGTTCGTTCCCTCGCCTCTAACCTCCACCATGCCACTCGCTCAAGGTGACCCAGTAAATAGAGAAGGCGTCGGGGAAATTGGCGCACTCGGTGGCTCGTCGCTTTGCAAGGACATGGCAGCGTTATCAGTGCCTTGGACAGCAGCAGGGCCGGAACCGGAGCAAGAACGTTGCTACTGCTCGTGCGACATCGTTTGATGTTCGTGCGTCACTCGGGCGGCCGCCAAGCTAAATGCGTCCGCCAGTTGCATTGTCCGTTGCACCAACACAGTCGCATTTGGCACCGGCCCGGCACCGGCTCGAAGTAGCGCATAGGCTCGCGTCTCAGTCTCCGTCTCAACATGCATGCCACCGCATCCGCCGCGACCTCCGCGCTCAACTACTATGTGGAGCGATGTGATTACGAGCCGTACACTCAGCGAGCGGCCAGCGAAAGAAGCGAAGCTAGTGATGGATCCGTTACTGCCTGCGAAGGACCCTCCTCAGCCGCCAGCTGCTTCTCGTCCAGCTCCAGTTCTCATTCTCGTTCCCATTCGCGTTCTCGTTCCGCTTCGCCGCCCATCGCCAACCTTTATGGCGATCTATCTAGCGTGCCATATTTTAACAGCAAGCCGCGCAGTCAAGTACGATTAAGAATTGATACCTACACCAGAAGTGTGTGCCACAACTAATCAGTACCTTTTGCCTCCTCTCTTTGCAGTTCAAAAAATTACGCTGTACCTGGAAGGGCTGCAATTGCGTTGAAATGACGGCGGCGCAAATCGAACGTCACATAAGGGACAAGCATTTGCGGTAAGTTCCAAATGCCTCGCAAATAACACCACCTCTCACTACGAGCGTTATAAATAAGTCCTGTCGAGGGTCCTTGAAACACGCTGTGCACTGTACAGTCACAACAACAACAACAACAACAACAACAACAACAACGACACAGAACGCAAGTGGGCGGGCCAATAGCAACGCATGCGTTGCCTTGACTTAGTGTAGCTACAACAACAACAACAACTATATCAAGCATTGCACAGTGATGCGCATTCTGAAGAGCCGGTGTCAATAGTGGGAGTGGGATGGAATGATCTGTTCTATTTTTATTCTTCTAGTGCCTAACACACTCCTTGTATTCCCAGTATACTTAGTTCCACAGTCTACCACAAATATACATATTTTTGATTTTGTGCACAAGTTGCTAAATGATTGCTAGCCACACAAACCCCTTAAGCAGGTCAAAGTTTGATGATAATTGTCAGCTCTCCGGCCTACCCGATTTTTATTTGGGGCTCAAAAACGGGATATTAATGCATTATACAAAATCTTAAGCAGAACTTTTCCTTAATAAGCGACTTCAGCCCACTGTGCAATATTTTTGACGCTGTCGTTGCTGCCACAAACCAAAAGTGGAGCGAACACTTGTGCTCTTGCACACTACAACTATGCAGGTCAACCCACACACACGACCGCTCTACCGCATTGGGATTCAGAGCGCCCCTCTCCTTCCCTCGCTCAACACCAGCCGCAGAATTCAGATTGCGCACCTGCCCGTCAAAAGGCGTGGGGGCGTGACTTTCTGGGTGGCGCTGCACATTTTTGAGGCCAAGGTCCACCGTCGATTCTGTTCAAAATGCGCGCGCGCGCTCGCTTTTCTCAACTACAGCATTGATGTTTACATGAACGAGTATGTATGTATGTATGTATATACACATGTACGTATACTATTCACAATTCGACGATGCTCCGATATTTCCTACAAGCTCGTGCATGTGGGTGGGAGAAGCGGTTTGAGAAATTCAAGTGACAGCAGAAATTTAAAATGAAAGACCATGTTTTTGCTTCTGCTTTCAAAACGTTGTTCTTTTCATCGTATATGTATAAGTAAGCATAAATATAGTATGTGTATAGATCGTATGATTATATGTATGTATGTATTGTTGGTGTCGCTGGCGGTTGTGTTCTTGATGTTGTTATTTTTGTTGGCAAACGAACAGCGCGCTACTAAACTAGAAGAACAGTACACATATGCATTGTATATATGTTTATATGTAGAGGATACGTATTTATGTATTACTATTATGCTTGGGCATGCATAGCACACACACAGGCCACCAAACAAAGGTGCATGTGTGTAGGTATGTACGCTTGGCATGCTGGCAGCTTGATGCGAGGAGCTGGGTGGAGCAGCTTAGATGCATTGATTCGTTACAAGTCTCTTGCATTATTTTCAGTTATGTGGCATAAGTATAAATATGTGGGGGATATCATTATAATAAGAAGACGTACATACACAAAACCCTTACTAAATGGTATAACTTAAAGCAAAACGGCGGGCGGAACGAGACATTCACACTTTACAAATACATACATAGGTAACTTATAATCTCGACGGCGACTTCAGATAAATTAACTTAAAACTAAATGCTTTTCGTATCCCTATCGCTGCTGCTCGCAAACTGAACAGCATTAAACACATTTAGACATTGCATTTTACAAATAATTGAAACTAGTTGTTGGAGGTACATAAAACAATTTAAATACAATACGTCTTCATCTTTAAAACTCATATGCAGCACATGCGATGTTTTATATGTATAAATGTGGGTTGGTTTTGTTCAAAGCTTTTCAACTGCATTAACTAAGAAACTTTAAGCTTAACGTCTACTACAGTTATATTACGTGTTACAGTTATAGTTATGACGAATCTTGTTTACATTTATGTAACGTTAAAATCTTTAAACACTAGTGGCTAAAATTAGCTTACATATATATATGCTGCGTGTTCTAAACAACTACTTTAGTCTGCCTTGTTGATTGTTTGCTGTCGACGTTTTCAATGATTACTTTATCGGGCTCATTTAACTTATTCGTAGTATATATAGTTCATTCAAAATACAAGCATACAACAAATGCTGGGAGCAAAAATTAGGAGATTTGAATACATAAAAGCCTAAGGAAATTAAATTTTCGAGTACATAAGATAATTAACAAAAAATAACATAAACATATTTAAAAAGGGGACGCATACAATTCCACAAAGCAATAACACGAAAACAACAAAATTCACAAATTGGTTGGGGTGGTGGGGGCGGTGTCAATCATGAAAATACAGCATTACAAATTTTCCCAAAGTTCCAGCGCTGCCTAGTGCTGATGTATGAGGCCGTGTGTTATGTCCATGGCCGTGTCGCCCATGCCATTGACATTAAGACCTCCGTTTAGCATGCTAGTAGCTATTTTATGGGGAGACAAGAAACATAACTTAAGCAAATCACATTCAGCAGGGACTGGGATGCAGTTGGATAAATTCTGTCTACCTACAGTTACGCGTGACCTGCGTGTCCATCTGCGTCCAATACTGCTCAGAAGGGCTCTGCGTGCTAGTTCCCGGCGGCGCTTGCACCGGTGCCCCCGTGTACCGAAAATACGGATTCTTAAGATCCAATGTGTTGCTGGACGATATCAGTGTGCCCTCGATATGTAAATCAATGGTAACATCGTAGGACTGCCGCCGATTGGCCTCCAGCAGCACCCGTCCTGTCAGTGTCTGTCCCTGCTTGATGAAAATTGGCATGGGCAGCAGGCAGCGCACCTGATACCAATGGGTCAAGGGTGCCGTCGGCGAGGTGGAAAGCCATACGTTCTGGCTACTGCCACTGAACTCAACGTCGAACCAGAAGGCCAACCCATGACAAATGCCCGTCTGCAGTATGAGAAACTCGAGGGGAATGTCTGTAAAAAGAACATGACATTATGCTCAGAGCGGCCCAAGCAAACGGAGCCACAATTCAGCAAATTACCGATAACATGCAAGTCGTCCTCCTTGTCGTTGAGAAAGTCACAAACATGTCGCACTGACTTGGCCATGCAGATGCGTATATCGAAAGTGTCCACAATCGGCTGACGGAAGTACTCCTTCATGCCCTCCTTATGCAGCGTGGTTAGGTCCACACCATGAAACGCTGATTGATACCAGAAATTGGCCTTGTTGTACTGCTCCGAGTACAGCGATTCGTCAGAAAATGGCGCTATATGCAGATCACCATGTGTGGGGAACATTTTCCCCTGTGGCTTTAACCACTTGCGGGCATGTAGATAGGTTTCCAGCATGCGCTCGTTGTAAAGCATGTACCCCATCGGCTCCGATATGATGACATCCACTTTTTCGGGCAATTCGATCTCCTCGATCTTGCCGGGTATCACAGAGATCTTGTGCTGCACATTATTCGATTCAACCAATTGCTGCGCATACTGCGCCATATTAGATGCTTCAATGGCGTACACCTTGGCAGCGCCTGCCTGCACGGCAAAAAACGAGAGTATCCCGGAACCGGCGCCTACGTCTAGCACAATTTTATCCTAAATGTAGAAAAACATAAATCGGAATAGGGCAAGCATTAAGTAGAGTTGGGATCGAAATCCAATTTAAAATGGTGTTGACAGATGCAATCTACGGCTACCTGAAAATCAATCGCATTTCCCAGTATGGCGCGCTGATAGGTGCTTGTTCTCACATAGTCCTGCATCATGTTCTGCTGCTGACTGAGGTAGCCATAGAACTGGAAGTACTGCGAGGCGGACGACTCCTCCGTACGCTGCGAGAAGACAGACTTTGGCCGCAAGTGCTTCACATTTTCCACCACTTTACGGAAGAGTTGCTGATCCTGGTCGCTAGCGAAACGCAGCACCAGATTTTCCGCATCTAGCGAAATAGCATAGGTACGCCGGCCCAACTGTGCCGCATCCGTATCGGCCGAGATCATGTACTCCTTAAGCAGATGCTCATGATCGTTATCTAGAATGCAAAATTGTTATAATCACCATAGTTGGTGTATATTCACTATCACTATATAATATAGAATTTATTTACCAAGCACAATTCGCAGCACAACGCCTTGGGAGTCGTAGCTGCAGAGCAGCGTACAGCTGCCCTTGTATTTGTTGCTAAATTCGAGCTTTTGCTCATCACAAATCGCGCTAATTACGACGCCCGTGAATTTTGAAGTTGACAGCGAGTGGCCAACAAAATCGACGACGCCAGAAAGCGATGCCACGCTATTGGCGTTGGCAATCGCTGCTGCGCTGGCAGTGGAAGTTGCAGCGGCAGCGACCGTGCTGTATTTATTATTTTGCTCGACTCGGCTAGAAGTGGACATATTCGAATTTGATGTTGTTGCGGGTGCGCTTTCTTAAGTTTTTAACGTAGGAAAAGGGGTAAATCACAATGCTTTACGTTAATAATTGACACAATTGTATTGTTGGCCATGCACCCAGACTCATACACAGAGACAGATACACGCGAGACGTGCGACGCACAAATTTTTTTTTCTTTCGGTGGCGGCTGCAAAATTTTCCACAACAAAATGACGGGCTCTTTGTTGTTGGCGCTGGTCAAAGAGCTTGAGCAATGCACGCGTTAGCCGCTGGTTGATTGAGGGCTGAATTATATTACGTTGTGGCGCGGTCTTGGTCGCTGCTTAAGCAAAAATCAATCGATTTTTGTTGAATTCGTATTGATTTGACACAGAACGTGCGTGTTTTTTGCAAACGTTGCTACAACTCTGCAGCTGTTCACTTCTGTTGGAACCAGTTCACGGGCATTGCTGCATAGCGCTGCCAGATTGAGAAAGTGGCAACGCCGTGCATAGTGCTGCCAGAGCGAACCGGCAAACTGGTTCCAACTGCAGTTGTACTCGTCTACTTGCCAATCAGAACGAAATACATTGAAACTGATGAACTGAAAAATGTTTCTGCCCTTACAGCAAAAAGGCCAGACGCTCTGGAGACAACGACTCCTGCAGTGAAAATGAGCATGAAGAGGAATTCTATTATACGGACGACGACGACGATGACGAGTCGGTCAAAACGCCTAGTCCAGCCTCTCCACCCACACTCAGCCACCGGGACATGGCACGTCCGCCTCATGAGGATCCAGAATACCAAAGACAGAAGGTTATCAATTTCAGGTATGTATGAACCACATAATCATTCAAATGAAACTCCAATTCTAAATCTTACCTACAGACAAGGACGCGCTATGAATTATAGCCAACAGCAGCAGCAGCAACCGCCACATTTTAGCAACAACAGCCGGTCCTTGCATCACAATAATAACGGCACCGTTCACATCACAAGCACCCAACAACAACAGCTGCAGAACAACAACACAAGCCTCATACCCACTTCGCCGCTGGCGCACCACAACTACACTTGGCCCTCCAACAGCGCTGGTGCCGGCACTGCGATCCCGGTGACTGCAACATCGACGCCGACAAGCGGGCCACCGAATCAGCAGCAGCAACCACATCACATCAAGCATCCACGCTCATCATCACGTCCGTCCCATTCGGCAGCGCCATATCCAACATCCACATATGGCCATCATCAGCATCACAATTACAGCAGCAGCGGAAGCAGTAGCAGCAACAACAGTAGTCCGATCATCCATAGCAACAACAGTGCCAACAACATGTTGCATCAATTGTCGCAGCAAAACGTCACAGTGACAGCCCATCACAGTGGAAATGGCAACAGCAACGGAAACGCAAACGTCAGCGGCCAACCGCACCAGCAACAACACCTGTCTGGCGTGACCATCACGCCCAACTACCATCCATCGCAGCAGCAGCAACAGCCGCCGCAGCAGCAAAGACAACAGACAACTGCCAGCAACATAGTTGCAAATACGGGCCCCAACATGCCACTGCAACACGTGGCCGTACAGCATGCGGTCCAGCATGCGGCCAAACATACACCTAACTCACCGAGCCGTCGCACGCGCGGCGAGAACAAAAAATGCCGCAAGGTCTACGGCATGGAGCGTCGCGACCAATGGTGCACCCAGTGCAGATGGAAGAAGGCTTGTAGTCGCTTCGGCGACTGAAGGCGGCAGAAATCGTCGACGGAGGCGGCGGGCTCGTCGACGACCAACTTGCGACAAAGCGACATGTCAAAGGCAGCAACAACAGCGGCAACAGCAACAACAGCGACGGCAACAGCAACGACAACATCAAAAATGACCACCACAGTTGTTAGATTGGCGGCAGAGGTGGCGGCGGGTAAGCAACTGCCGGCATCGCTTACCATTAAGACCAATCGGCGCTATGGCAGTCACTCCAACCACGGCAACAGCAATATGACAACAATGCCCATTAGTGGCGTGGCCACTTCGGTCATTGTGGCCCCAATTTCAGCGGCCACACCACCGCCCACGCCATCGCCCACCCACAGCAGCAGCTCCGGTGCTGGCATCGGCGACAGTGTTGCCGCCTACGAACAGCAAGTTGCTGCTGCCAACGGTCTTCTGGCCTGGAGTCGCGCCACCAGCGCGTTGCAGCATCAAAAGATGCTGCCACCATCGGAGCCGCAAAACCACGCTCTGCTGTTGCAATGTTAAGTACTACGGTCTATTTGTTATTCTTGTTGCTTGGACACAGCCGTTGCTCTCCATTTGCCGTTGGATGCGCGAAGCAGCAAATTATGGTCTCTTTCTTATTTACTCTGCATTAACTGCACCTTAAACGTAACGGTATCTCTTTTGTTGTTGTGCTGGTGTTGCCACTGCCGTGCAAATGTTGCGAAAGCGACAACCACACACACACACACACACACACAAAACCACACACAGCAACATTTGCGCTGGGCAACATTTGCAATTTACAATATACATACATACATATGTAATTTTAAAGATAAAACATACATATACATATTTATTTTAAAAATGACTTTGTTAAACCTTATGTTATAAACAACAACAAATCGGCAATCGCTTTGCAATTCGATTCGCCAACCATTTATTATACATAGATATATATTAATATATATATTTATATTTCTCGATATGTATAAATATATATATCGATTTATATAAATATATATATTTGTAAAATCTAAAGCAAATATACATTTTGATTTTTTTAGTTATAAGGCCCTAGAAAATTTTTTCTTATTATTAAGTGCAATTTTTGTTCAACTTCTTGCTCTAAAAAAAAACATAAAACAAAGAAAGAAAGAAAAAACAAACTCAACAACAGCGCTTTGCGCAATAAAAACAAATCAAAATGGATTACAAAATATACATCTATATAAATACATACCTATATACACGCATAATACATACATATATAGTATATGAAAGAATGATGAACATACAAAATATGCATATAGAAATATTCAAGCGTTACATCTACATATTATTAAAGCAAAACAAACAATTTACATTTACATATAAATAGTTAAATAACTTGCGTATAATTCAAGAATTCAAAACAGTTTTACAAAATGTATGTGTGTGTTAACAGTTAAGTATAATATACATACATACAAACAAAGAAAGAAATAAATAAGCATGCATCGCTTGATGCCAGCGATGCAGAAGAAAGGCAAAAGCAAATATTCAAACTTAAAGTAAATAAAGCAAAAAACTTAAATCAAATGCAGAAGGGATGATTAAACAAAAGCGCTCGTTAAATATTCTAGCTAAATAAGCAATCACATCTATAGAACAATTATCCCCAGTCCCAACCAAACCCATCACCCAAAACAAATAAACAAACAAACACACACAACTCCTACACTATTGTATAATAAACATAAAGCAATTACATTTAATTTTAGAGAATTATAAACAATGAAAGCAATCAACAAAAACGAAATGCAATAATTTAAAGATCAGACAGAACAGGCAGACAATTATAAATAGAATGCATAAAAGAAAACAGTATAGACCGTCGGAATTTCTTTGGAGCCAAGAAGCGAATATTTTTAAAAATGTACTTTTAATACCATGTTCAAATACTTCATTAAGCTGATTTTCGAAATTTTTTCTATTGATTAATTTGTAAAAATCCTACGACTAACACTTACTATACATATATTTAAACAAACACCTTTTTGCGTTGTGCAACTATTGTGAATTCTTCAAATTACGGCGACGGCGGTGGGCCCCAAAATGTTGATTCTAATGATGAAAATAATGAATAATGATGATGATGATTATTTTGATGAGCAAGATATGGATGGACACTAATGATGTCACAAATAGCAGCTCTGCCAGGTAGAGAGGGGGAAACGGAATGATTTGAAAACCAAACAAACGAGAACGAGACAAATGATAGCATGGGAAACGATGTAAAAATACACAAGGAATTTTTAACCAAATTGGAAGTACAAACTAAAGTCTAGAATATGTATATATAAAACTGTAAACAAAGATGAAAAACAAATGTATATGCATATATATTTTTCGAATTAAGCAGCCCACAGGATGGGCTAGGAGAGAGTTAGAAGAGAGATGATGTGGAAAGTTGAAGTTGAGCAGCAATGAAAGCAAAAACAAATTGAAAGCGAACAGCGCAGTATCGAAAACTTGGAGATCAGAGGTAGTGGTAAACGCAGGCCAGAAAAATGAGCTTGGATAGAGAAAACTGTGAGATAGGTAGTGGAGGGCATAGAAGAAAGGCAAAGAAATGTGAGATTTCGCAAAGAACTCTAATAATATTTCTTGTAAAGAAACTAAAACATTGCTTACACATAAGTTTTCAAATTGCATAATGTTTTCCAAATCTCAAGTTTTCTACAAGAATTAAAAACAAACACAAAAATCTTTAAATACATATTTGATGAGTCCAGCAAATATATAAAACAAAAACAAAAAAAAAAAAAAACACGTACACATGCGCACATTTCTTTGAAATTGTTAGCCGTGATTTGAATGAAATTCATAATGGTGGCCATTTGTGTAATGCAAAACGTTTAACAAATTGATTAAGCATGCTACATACATTTTACAATTGTATTTCGTTTTTACTATATATAAGTTTTACATCAACAACAACAAAAACACACATATGTAGTTTTAAAGGCAAAGGCAAAAGAAGGAAGCACAGAAGAAAATAGAAAATTGTGAGTTTCTTTACAAATTTAATTATGACAATGATTATTATTGTTTTTCTTGCTAATTTTCTTGCACCAACAACAACAAAACACACACACACACACAGCAACAAACAAAAGCAAAACAAACACTCGATTCTTCGTTGCGTTCTGGAAATTATTTAAATTTAAGTGATATTTTTAAAGCAAAGAAACTATCCATTACTGTATAATTATCGATAAAGTTTCGACATATTTTACGATTATGATTATTACGCAGAAGATTTGCAAATAACAAATATCTAAAAGAGCCAGCATCAGAAATGCCAAACAAATGCAAAAGCAAGATGGTGTCAATCAAACTGATTTCTGAAAATTGAATAGAACCAACCTACCAACCAATATATACATATATATACGTTATATATATCTACATATATATACGGGATACGGAACATGAACACAACTGCTATTTTTTTCTTTCAGTCCACAAGAAAATGTTTGCAAACTGCATAAGCCCCCAACAACACACGTTTTATTGAAAATATACAATTGTTATTTATAATTAAAAAAAAAAACCAAAAGAATCAAGTTTGTTTTTATTATGATTTGCTCTTTCAGTTGAACTATCTTTTTCAATCTTTTTGGTTGCCTGTCCCCGTCCTCTGCACTTCCACACAACGGTTTCCTATGGTACTATGTATACGTGCATACCCTTATGTACCAATACAATCGGACCCGAACCCAGATTTGGAATCCCAGACCTCAGACTCAGTGTATAGAAGCTTAACCACAGTACGTATAAGTTTGCTTTCGGATTTCCCACGAACCAATCGCAGACTGTACGCCTAGCACTTCTTAAGCAGCTATGGTTTCCCCCTAAGGTCCCAGATGTAGAGCATCAATGATAGATTTAAATATTTACAATTATCCCGACAAATATACGCGTAGCCAGTGCTACAATCTAGAGCATTTTATTCTTGGACCGATTGAAAAGTTTTTGAAAAACAAGCAGCTTTACAACTTGGACTCTTTAGAATCCGATCTGCAAGTTTCAGTATTGAAATAGAAAAAGTTTTTAAGATAGATGTATTGAAGTTCAAGTGTCTAGCAACACTAAATTCCCTAGTACTATTTATAACGCTTCAAGATATGTTGTACTTTTTTAAAAGTTTTTCTTTGATTACTTTTCAGTTGTGCAGAATTGAGTTCTATAATTTCTTTGCCCTTTTCTTTGCGACATGCCCATCAACTAAGAAACTCATTTGTGAACTGAAGCAACTGAAAATATATAATTATTACTATATGTACTTGTAACCAAGGCTTCTTTGCCAATGTGTATTTGTACGTATGCATAAGACAAGTTTTAAGGCTAAACCCTATGCATGTAGATCGAAACTTATGATATTTCTTCTGGATATTTACTGTATCGTCGTTATTGATGTGTTAACGTTAGCCTAACTATAAGCAATCGCACAGTCGGAGCAGTCGATGGACCGTCCGAATGGATGGGTCGAGTGTGAGTTTACAATTAGAAATATGATCGGCAGCTGGCCAGACCTCGACCACGGGGCTGGGCCGGACAATGCTGTTAAAGCGCGGTATGTTGCATCCACTAATTGGTAATTAAGTTACAATGTACTCATAATATATGCTTGCATAGATATATACACGTACATACATATACATACCCATATACGTGTATGCATGGACCTACGCCTATGTACATACATACTCGTACATATATATTACTATAGTCGATGTGTGTGAATTTTGTTAAGCTACGGAGGGCATTGGAAGCAGACTTCAATGTCGTGACTTCTAAGTAGAAATATAGTTACATACTCGTACATTATACATATATTAAATAATTGGGTGTATTATTGGTTTTTGGCCAAGGTAATGGAGAGACCATCTGCCTACCATCTGTGTCCGTACTCGGACGGATGGAAGGCACAGTGTGTTGTTTGCGTTGGTGTGTTCATTTTCTAATTGGAAAAACGACATTAGTTTTAAAAATTTG